GTCAATGAATTTTTTTTGTCAATGTAATGGCATGATTTGCAATGGAAGAGAGGGATGAAACCAACAGCAATAGGGAAAGCTACACAGTCCTGGGGCGAAGCACAGTAGACAGAGGACTGGTAACCTCCCTATTCTAATGCCTGTCACCTGGTCACTCCACACACCATCAAGTCACAGTGATCTCAAGCAAGAACCTAAGAGCCATCTTCTTTACCATGTGAGAATCGTAGGAACACCAAATGAAATGATGATGTTTCGGGAAAGATCCTGAAAAAGGCGATCAACCTTGAGAGGAGAGGGATAGATGCATGCGGAATACAGGTGGGTGAGCCAGGGGACACATTGTGAGCCTGGAAAGGGGTTCTAAGAAGTGAAGGGGGCTGAAGGAGGGTTAGGGTAGAGCGAGCTGATCTACTGCTGAAGAGAGGCCAAAGTACATATAAGAAGGACAATCAGAGTTTAGAGATTAACTCTGCTGCCTGATAATTTTACCCAACATCAGCTGCCACCTGTTTTGTGTTCTTCCCAACACTGTTTACAGAAAGCAAGGGCTTGAAGCCTGCCTTATTAATCAACTACATAACAATCAGAGCCATATAACACTGAGTATGTCCTCTGTGGACTCCAGCACACCCAGGCACTGGATTCAGAAGAGAGGCTTTACATAAGAAATTAAGGACTTCGTGTTTCCACCTGAAAAAGACATGAGCTTAATGTAACAGAACTCCCATCTCCACGTTCATCCCATCTCCTTGCTTTTGAGATAAGAAGGAAGTTGGCTGTCTCTGTATCTGCTGTTGTTAGATCCTGTTCAGTCAGAACCAATTCATAGCTGAGTCTCCACTGAGTTTTGAGAGGCTGTAAATCTCAAAGGAGGAGACTGCTCATCTTTCTCCTGTGGAGTATCCGGTGGATCTGAACTGCTTGCCGCTGGGTTAACAGTACAGTTCCTGACCACCAGGTCACCAGAGCGCCATTTATTTTCTTATTGTTTAGGAGGAGAAGCATCAGTTCTAAGGAAAGCTTTGCCTGTCAGTTCTAGAGGGAAGTCCTTGTCTCTCCAGCATCTGTTTTCTGGTTTATTGGAGATCTCCATGTGTGCTGGCATCTCTCTTTTCCCAGCACTGCTTTTTTCAGTAGCTTGTTTCAATTTCTTTTATATTTTATAATAAACTCAAGACACACCCCCTACACTATTCCTGTCTGATCAACATGACAAAGAATCCATTCCATCAGCCTGCTTGACTCTAAACTGCTCTGGGGATGGACAATGAAACTGAAGGAAGAGCTTTGGTTTGTTCTGACTGTAGAATTCCTTTAGGCAAACAGTGTTCTTTTAAGTTTTTGGTCCCCTTCAGCCTAAGATGATGGGTGTCCTACTGTGATAGTTGGTCCGAGCCAATAGTCATTCAAATTATCTCTTTAATCAGGGACTGTGTAGCCAGCCACCACCCGAGTGAACCTTCTCAGACATGTCTTCAGTTTTTATAAGAGAGGTCTGTAAATTTTTAAGTTCTGTTTTCATTTTGTAGAGTGTTTTTTGCTGTTGTTTTTAAATTTCGTTTTGAAGACCATGCCTTTGCTTGAGCATTTTACTGCAAGCTGTTGTTGTGTGTCACCAACTTGGAATGGATCCACACATAGCTGACCCTCTAGCACACTCTCAGAGGCAGTTAACAGCTTGGGAGGAGAATGCCCATCCTTCTTCAGTGTAGCAGCTGGTGGATTCGAACTGTGTGCCTTTGAGATTGTGGTGCAGCTTCTTACAACTAGGAAAGCTAAACTCTGGGGTCGCCTAAGAAAATCTCATCAGGCAGATTTCCAAGTTCACTACTTAGGCTCGCCTTCCACCAGACATTTGAAAAGTCAAGACTAAAAAAAGTCAAAAAAAAAAAAAAAAAAAAAAAAAAAAAAAAAAAAACATATTTTACATTTCTCCAAAAAAAAAAAAAAAAAAAAAAAAAAAAAAAAAAAGACTAAAAAAAGTCACCCTTCCTCCATTGTTTAATCGCATGTCCATCATTTCTTTTTAAAGTCTCACCAGAAGCAATTTATGTTCCTAGAGGCATAAGTATTCTCTAAGATGATAGAAACTGTTTCTATAGCTCTCCTCACTTGCTTGTAAGCCCTTACCAGAATTGTCTTTGATAATTCTATCAACAGTTTCTTCAAAGCAATCTAGGCTTTTACTGGTAGGCACCTTAAAATTCTACCAGACTCCATCTGTTCCCCAATTCCAATACTACCATGTCCACCTTTTAGGTATCTGTTAGAACAGCACCCTTCTCCTATGGTACTAAATTCTGTCTTATCTTTTATCAAGTGCTACTGTAATAGCATTACCACCATGAGAGGATGGCTTTGGTAAACAGAATTTTATTTTCTTACAGTTTGGGAGACAAGAAGTACAAATTCAGATGGCTGATGCTAGGAGAAGCTTTCTCTCTGTGTCAGCTCCGGAGGAAGGTTCCTATCTCTTTAGCTTCTGCTCAGGTGACCCCCATGTGTCTTATCATCTCTTCTCTGTTTGCTTGCTTAACATTCTTCTTTTTTTTTTTTAATTTTATCTCTCTTATATCTTGAAAAAGACTGACTCAATATATACCCTACACCAGTAACATGACAAAAAAGATCCATTCCCAAATAGGATTAATAACTTCAAATAAAGAAGTTAGATTTACAACACAGATTTCGAGGGGGGAGGCATAATTTAATCTGAGTCCCAGTGGATAGACAGTTTCTCTGCTAATTCAAAGGTGGATTCTCTGTGATGGTTCAAATCCACCAGCGGCTCTGAGGGAGAAAGAAAGATGGGTAATGTGCTCCCATTTATTTAAAGCCTCCGAAAACCCACTGGAGAGTCAGCTCTGAGTCAGTTCCAACTCCACAGACATAAAAGAGTGAGTGAGTAATCCAATCTATAATACAGGGTAAGCAGACACTCTAAAGCAAGGGAAAGTTAGGGAGAAGACCTCTGGAGAAATTCAGGAGGATTCAGGAACAAGTTCTAGACCTGGTGCTACTATTGAAGCCTCACTTCTCTGCATCTGTTTCTCTGACTGTAACACAGGAATGGTGGTACCAGATGAATCTTTCTCCATTAGCACTCATTTACTGGTTGCAGAGAACTCCCATTTAGTGAAGATAGCTAAAGGGATGCAGCAGAGGAATACAGCTCAGGGACATAGAAAGAGAGCCCATTAATGAGACAACAGGAAAGATGAACAGAGGAGGAAGAGTGAGCACCTCTGAGCCTTTGGGAGCAGAGACTGAATCCGGCTGGTTTGGCTTCACCGAAGCCACTCCACATATAGGGAAGAAGTGCAGTGTGCTTCTGGGCTTGGATATGAAGGTGCTCAGGAGGCGAAGATGCGTTGGGTCATCTTCACCTCCAAGGAAACTTAGCACAAGATAAACAAGTGATGGAAAGCCAATGTCTTGGGGTGGGGGATCAGAATATTATATTCACCACGATGGGGAGACAAGAGTGGCTTCAACCATGGAGTTTAAGCACCGCAGGGATGCTGAGAATGGGAGAGAATCGTTGGGGCTTCACTGCATGGTTGACAGGGTTGGCATGAGTTAGTCAACTCCAAGCACAACAATGAATATTCCACTTCAACAGAAAGTTAGGGCTCTGGTGGCCGAGTGGCAAGAAGCTGCGCTGCCATCCCGAAGGCACGCGGTACGAGGCCACCAGTCATTCTATGGGGAAAGGATGGGCAATCACCTCCCGTGTGATTTACTGCCTCTGAAAACCCGCTGGAGGGTCAACTTACGGGTCGGTTGTAACTCGACAGTACACAACAACAACGACAGTGATAATTAACAAAATCTTTAGTGGTTCAATGGTACTGAATAAACGAAATGTGTACCTGACTACCAGGGAAAAGGAGAAAGAAGCTAATATCCTCAAGTACCAGTGAGCCAACAGCTCCCCTCAAGCTATGGATGTAAAGGGGTGGGGTGCGGGGAGAGGCACCAAAGGCCTGTGCTGTTTGGAGGAAGAAATGAGTTCTGAATACATATACTGCTTCCCAGAGAAGAGCCAGTCCAACAGTCAAAGGATATGGGAAATAGGTTCTTTTCTGCTTCCAGAGACGGGAGCATAGAGAAGGTCTACCAGCAAGAGAGGTAGCCTTTATGTGCTCCGTGTCCTTAAAGAAAGTGGCTTGTTCAAGTAATAAAATGATTATGGTCAGAAAAAGGCAGGCACGCCTGAGGGTCTGGGACCAAACTGTTCTGTTCTATTTGAAAGTTCTTCCTTAATTCTCACCTCTCCCAACTTGAATTCACTTGACTCAGCTGTTGTCTGGATCCACAGGGGCTCACTGCTGCAGTCTTTATATTAATAAAGACCACAGTGGAATTCCTCAGTGCCTCAATTCTTTGTTTAAACATCCAGATTTCTTCCTCTGGGAGAGTCGAAATTTATGCCACTAATTATTTCTAAAATAATGTCACTAGTGCTAAACAAACTAACCCTATTAAAAAAAACCCCACCCCTTTTTAAAAAATAAAAATAAAAATGAAGGTCTCTCAAGGCTTACTTCTCCAGACATCATCCATCCTTCAAGCTACCAAATGAACCTGGGGGGCTAATAAGATACGCAGTAATTAGAACACATTTGGATGAGAGCATCCTGTGTCTAAATATTTTACGGAGGCATCAGCAGGCAGTGGTACCTGCAGAGTAAAGTACTTCTCAGTGAGCTCCAGGGACTCTTAACCACTTCTCATTAATCAGTCCCTCTTACTTTCTGGAGTTGCAATGGTGTTTCAAGAGACCAGAGGCCATTAAAATAGACAAACATCCCCCCGAAAGATGAATATCCACACTACTGACTAAACTCAAGCATCACTGAGCTTTCACGTACACCATGCATGATAATCAAAACGCTCACCTCGATGGCCTGTGAGGACAGAAGCAACGAGTCTACAGACAAATCCCCAATTACACCCACACAAAGCAGCGGCCAGAAAGGCACACTCTGTTTTACCTCGTTCTCTGGGGTGGGAGACGGCGTCACAGAACTAAGGGACCCTTTTCTTGAACCCTGAAGTTCTGCTGGGATGGACACCGGGCGCTCCCACTGAGTGGTCCCCGTTGGTATGTGCCAGTAATAGGTCCCAGCGATGTCACTGACTCTTTTCCAGCCCGGTGGCAAGTCTGGATCCGTCTGAAACGAGTGATCACTCCATATATCCGCTGAAAAAAAATCAAAGGACAAAATGAGTTTTACTTAAAAAAGAAGCAAATTCAACCCAACTCAATTCATTTCTGTTGACCTTCCAGCTCACGGCTGATGGGCCACGGTCATGGCGCAATGGACTATCCTTGACACTACACTGACAGGTGCCTGCATTCTAGAATTATCTAGCTTTTTCCTGTTTGTGTCTTTATAAGAGAATCTCTAGAGTACATGTTTGCATCCAGGGTGTCTTCCCCCAACTCTAACAAGCACTATTAGCCAGAATCAACTACCCAAATAAAATGTGTGTGGTTACATATGGTGCTATCGTGCTGGCTCCAGCGCACAGCAATTCCACAGAACAAAACAGTGTCTGATCAGGCACCAATCTCACAATTACTGCTGTGCCCTCTGGACACACACAGAAGGTACTAAATCCTTCTCAAATCTTACATGCAATTTGCTGATTGGCAACACATTTTATTCCCACTTATGAGTCCAATTCTAATAACTGTCTTTCACTGCCTCCGAGAAATGAGTTGTTGCTGTGATTTGCTGCGGTTTGCTGCCATGCAACTGGCTCCTAGGTCGTGGTGACCTTATGCACAGCGAGAGAAAAGGTTGCCAAGCCCTCCCCCATCCCTGTGAGCGGATGCCGATCAGGTCATCATGATCCACAGGGTTTTTATTGGCTGATATTTTGTAAAGATTGTCAGGCCCTTCCTCCTAGTTTGTTTTAACCTGAAAGTCCTGTTGAAACCTGTTCATTATCTTAGCAATAAGCAAGCCTCAGCTGAAGGATGAGTGATGGTTTTCCCTGGGGTACTTCTGTGGTGTTGTTATGTGCCGTTGAGTTGCTTGTGACGCATAGCGACCCTATGTACAACAGCTCTGAACCCTAATCTATGCTGAGCCAATCTCATTGTCTCTGACACACCCCATTACCCCAGTTACTGAGTCAATCTATCTCATCCAGGGTCTTCCTCTCTTGCACTGTCCCTCCACCCTCCCAAGCATGACATCCCTCTCCAAGGACTGGTCCCTCCTTGCAACATGCCCAAAGTATATCAGAGAGAGCCTCAGAATACATTCCTCCAGGGAGTAACCTGGTTTCACCCTCTCTAGGACAAACCTGTTTGTTCTTCTATTAGTCCATATTCAATACTCTTCTCCAGCACCACAGTTCAAAGGCATCAATTCTTCTTCTGTCATCCTTACTCACTGTCCAGTTTTCTGATACATAGCAAGTAACTGTGAAGACCAAGGCCTGAATCAGGTGCACCTTATTCTCGAGACTGACATCACTGCTCTTCAGTACTCTGGAGAGGTCCCAGACAGCAGACTTTCCCAATGGGGAAACAATGGCTAGGAATTCAACCTGGGTCTCTACCATCGTTGGCTAGAATTCTATCTTTCTCGTGTGCTTTTTAATAACCCTACCAATTTGATTGTTAACATCTCCAAAGTGACAATGCCTTTTTTATGTCCTTAAATACTAGGCTGAACATGGATCACTCCCAAAGAAAACAGATTCAAAAAGCCTTAGAATTTAATAGAATGACTAGATGGATTCAAAAACCATGCCAACAGATTCTAAAACCAAGTAAGCGATTTTAGCATGTGAAGCAGGGGAGGTGTGAGACAATAAAGAATGATGGGGACGGTAGTGAACTATCATGTAATCAAATGAGCCAAAGGCAGTAAATTCTTCTTTGGAAAGATTTTTTTTCAATGCACAGTCCAAATAAATGGTATCCACTAGACAATGTCAGACAAACCTAGTCTATCAATATTCTATCAGTTTACAACAGAACAACATGCAAGCTTCATTTTTTTGAACAATTTGCTCTAAAAAAATCTCATCGTTGGTCTTATTAGGTTGAATATGAAATTAGTTAAAAGGCTGATAGAAGGTAAAGGAAGCAGAATAAGAAATCAGAGATACGGAGTCATAATGGGAGCAAGTCTTAGGTAGTTTTATCAACATAGGTGATTTGAAAAAGTTAGGTAACTGGAGCTCTGGACCTGGGAATATCTTTATTCTAAGGACAAGGGAGGGAATCCTCGTAGTGTAACAGGTAAGGAGTCACACAGCCAATCCAAAGGCATGTGGTTCAAATCCACTAGTTGCCCCAAAGGAGAAAGATGGGCAATCCCCTCCCGTGTGATTTGCAGCCCCTGAAAACAGGCTGGAGGATCAGCTCTGAGTCAGTCCCAACTTGACGGCACAGAACAAAAACAAGGCCAGGGCAGTAGGGTGCACTTGAGAGCAGCAGAATCACGAACATGTGTGAGCTGAGCTCTGTGCAAATGTCACCACATCACATGGGCAGGCGCCGCGGCGGCTGCTCTAGCACAAAAAGAAACCAAACAAAGAGGATGATTAAGACTATGGGCACAGATGTGCATTCAACGCAGTTACTTGGCATCTTGGCATCCACGTTTTTCATTTAAATCTGCCGGAGGCAAAGCTGCCACTTGTCTCAAATTACCATGAAAATTTCTCTCTCCCCCTACGGGAAATTAGCCATGATTAAATAATTTCAAGTCACCCAAATTTTGCAGAAACAACTAGAAACAAACATGTGTTTAGGCTCCCTTTGTCTTTTCTGCTTTGGAGGTAGAGGGTCATGAAATACTGTTGGGGAGCTCTGGTGGCACAGTAGGCAAAGAGCTATGCTGTGAACACAAAGGCAAGCAGTTCTAATCCACCAGCTGCCCCAAGGGGAGCAAAAAGCGGGAAGTCGCCTCCAGTGTGATTCACGGCCTCTGAAAACCCGCTGGAGGCTCAGCTCTGAGTTAATTCTCAGCGACACGTAACACAATTCCCCACTCCCACCCCTCACCTCCCACCAGCATTTCAAGGGAGGTGGGAAGGTAAAAGCACACAAATCTGAGGACAGAGCTGGACAAAAGCCCACCACAAGGGAATTCTCTGGTCCCATTTAAGAGACTCAAAGGCATAGAGTTCTGGGATACCCAACAGCAAAAATGCAAAAAGCTGTGAGCTACCATCTCTCTAGCTTCTATGGTCTGTGGACCTGGATGAGTACAGATATCCTCTAGTTGTCGCTCAGTGGGGGCATTGCCATGGTAAAGAACAGTAACACTGCTATCAGAAGATGAAAATCATGTTAGATCAAGAGCAGAGGCCACATTCAGTGCCCTTCTCAGGCTGACTGTTCCAGAAGGTACTTCAAGGGCAGCAGGAAAGAAGCTGGGGCTGCCCTGAATTTGGGCACCTCTGACTTAGTGCACACCCCAAAGGCACAAGGCTCAAATCCACCAGTTGCTTCATGAGAGAAAGATGGGCAACCTCCTCCCATGCAATTAAATTGTCTCTGGAGACCTGCGGGAGCATCAGCAATGAGCTGGCTCCGACCTGACAGGATGCAACAACAATCTTCAACCCAAGGACCATGCCTCTCTGGGGGTCCAATTCCTCTAGCAGCTTTTGAAATAAAAAGGGACAATCTCCTCCCAAGAGATTTACAGCCTCAGAAACCTACTGGAGGGCCAGCTAGAGTCAGGTCAGCAAGGAGAATCAGCAGAAAGAGAGAGAGAGACAGAGACAGCAGGAGACTGAGAGGGAACTTCAACCAAAGTAGCTCTCACATACATTGGGTATAATAATGCCGGAGGGGGAAAGTTCTTGGCAAAGGACACTACACTTGGAAAGGTGGAGGGTCAGTGAAAGAGGTGAAGACCCTCAAGCAGATGACTGACACAGTGACTGGAACAATGGACGTGAACTTGGTGGAGACTGTGAGGGTAAGGGCATAGGGGTTTGGTGGCTGACTGAAATGTAGGCAGTTGAAATGCATCAACTGCTCACAGTGAGCACGTGATGACGTGACAGTCGGCTTCCACTATGATTTACAGCCTTGGAAATGCTCAGGGGCAGCCCTTCTGTACCCCAGGGGGAGAAAAGGTTCAATGGCACTGGGTTTGGGTTCTTTCCCTGTCCTCCTGCCAAAAAAGAGCCCAAGAGGCAAAATGCTTAAGTGCTTAACTGCAAATTGAACGGTAGGCAGTTCAAACCCATCTCAATTGGAGAAAGCCCTGGCAATCTGTTCCCATAAAGATTACAGCCCAGAAACACTAGGGGCAATTCTATTCTATACCACACGGGGTCGCTAGGAGTCAAGGTGGACCTGGCCACACCCTGCCAGCCTTTCTAATGGTATCTTCCACCTGTGATGGGTCCCTTGTGTCTCCAGCCTCCTGTCAACAGAGCATCTTGCTGAAGGCACTGTCACAAGGAGGCCGGGGACAGTTCAGCCAGAGGAACTGAAAGTCAGAGGTGTCCTTTCAAGCGTTCTGCAGCCCTGCCTCCCTTGTGTGTGTGTTCTTTTCTGAGAACAGGAAGCAGGGCCTGGAAGTTGGATTAAAAATAGCAAGCTTGTGAACCTCACAAAGTCTCTCTTGTGTTCGGAGCCTCTGGAGCCAAAGGCAATACTGGGGCAGGAGAACAAGACTCCCTTCTGTGTCAGCAGCAAAGGCCCTGCCCTGTGCAGCAGCCCTGAGTGCGGGTGCTACTGGCCTGGCTCTACCAGGCTGCCGGGGACCCTCTGCCCAGGGTTGGCTGGCATGAAGCAAGCTTGGCTTGAACCTGCCTCTCCCCAGGGCCCACATGCAAGAACCTGAGGACCCCAAGCAAGCAAAGAGGCTGGAAATCTCTCCACCTGCTGTGGAGGCCTCAAGCTGCAGGAATGAATGATCTGTGTTCTAAATCTGGCAGGGCACACACAATTTCACTCTGGTCCACAGGAAGGCCCCTGCATTACCTCAACATCGATTTCCTTGATGTGCACGGGACAGGCAGGGATGCATGAGGGGAAAGGAGGAAGGAGGGAAAATGGACCCATGTATTCTATTCTATGCCAGGTACTGTTTGAGGGCTAGAGACACAGAAGTGATTACAAGAGGCCCAGGGGCTGGTCTCACAGGCTGGAAGTTTCAGATCCCAAGTGTCAGAATCACTTCTTCTCAGACCTAATAGAACATCGGCTGCTGA